ACACCATGTGTCTTTTTTTAGACATTGCTTCAAATTATCTTTTTACAATGTATACATATAAATCATTACAATATTTACGGTTCATACAGATTACAAATATGATGATCATGGAAAAAATGGGTTATACAGAGAGACTTTTTGCACCATGCGCAAGTAATTACAACTATTTCACCACAAATATCGCATGTTGCTTTCGAATGTTTTTTAAAACAAAAATCGACTGGTGTATCAAATTCTCCTGGCCTATGTTCCAAATATCCACTTTTGTACCAAGCGTGTTTAAACAAATTAGTAAATTTTGGCAATGAAAACTGATTGTGCGTTAATGACTGTAATTTTAAAATAGCGTTTTTAGAATGAAGTTTTACATTAAGATCTATCAGGTGTAGAAGTATGAAACCGGAATTTCCCTATATATGGCACTAACTATCAGTTTAAGGACCACAAGACACGATCTGAACGGCCATCCACTGTTTTTTTCTAACCTTAAACATGTCGAGTTTTGTGCCTACGAACTACGATTTGCGGACAGCATTGGTTTTCTGTTATCATTTGAAGAAAACTGCTCGCATCGAATGCTTGTCGAAGCTTACGGTGAACAATGCTCTTGGTAAAACACAGTGGTTCAAAAAATTCAAAAGTGGTGATTTTGACGTGAGAAACGAAGAGCGTGGGAAACCACCGAAAAAGTTCACAGACAACGAATTGCAAGCCTTATTGGATGAAGATGATACTCAAACTCAACAAGAACTCGCGGAAAGTCACAGGTGATGAAAAATGGATATATTTTGAGAATGCTAAGCGTCGTAAATCATGGGTGAATCCAGGCGAACCATCGACATCCACTGCAAGACCAAATCGCTTTGGAAAGAAGACAATGCTCTGTGTTTGGTGGGATCAGAAGGGTGTAATCTATTATGAGCTGCTAAAACCTGGTGAAACCGTTAAAACTAATCGCTACCGACAGCAAATGATCGATTTAAATAGAGCATTACGTGAAAAACGACCGGAATATGGAAAAAACAACACAAAATCATTTTGCTTCATGATAATGCTCCATCACACACAGCAAAACGGGTCAGGGAAACAATCGAGGCGTTCAGTTGGGAGATATTAGCGTATGCGGCTTATTGTCCAGACTTGGCTCCGTCCGATTATCATCTATTCGCATCACTGGGACATGCTCTCGCTGAACAACACTTCAATTCGTATGAAAATGTACGAAAATGGCTCGATAACTGGTTCGCTTCAAAAGAAGAACTGTTTTTTTGGCGTGGCATTCATACATTGCCGGAGAGGTGGGAAAAATGTATAAATAGCAATGGAGATTATTTTGAATAAAAAATTTTTTATCATTTTCAAACACAGACGTGTAATTTTTACAAAAAAATTCCGGTTTCATACTTCTACACCTGGTAAAAGCATGACTACATCTGAAAAATGCTTGACGAAATTCTTCCATAAACAGAATTCAAAAACGGTTGTATTTTTCCTGTTGCTCTAGCCGGTATAGTTAATAAAACAATATCTTGTGTAGAATCTGGTCTATTTCTTTGAATTATATCCAGACAATGACCAGTCCATGAATTTAACAATAAAACTGAATTTGGTCCAACATTTGGATAATATACTTCTCTTACCCAAGTTTCAAAATGATTAGATGTTAGTTTACCAGATTTTGACGACATAATAAAAATATTATTTATATGAATGTCATTTCTTATACCCTAGGACCTAATGTCCCACTAAGTTCTTTCAACACTATAAGAAGTGGAGATAATAATCTATCATCGGCTGAAATAATAGGTTGTATTGTATAACTGCATCGCAGATATTGACTGTGCTACAGACTCTACTTTTTTTACAACTTTCTGTGTCAATGTACGACTAACATGCAATTCTAATTGAAAACTTTGGTTCGTTAATTATACACATTTTCAATTCCATAACGGTCAATATAATATTTGACATTTTCAATAAACCTATTGCTATCTGCCTGTAAAGCTATCTTTGACATTAAAGCTTTTTTAGTTATAAATTTCGTAACTTTTCTAGATACAATTTGATGCGCCAGCTTAAATCTTCTAACCCATTCGTATGATACTTTAAAACCTAATAAGTTTTTTTATTTATTGTTGCGCTTGCAAAGCCCATCGTATAATATTATGGATTAATATCATGGATTATTGCCCCTTTACGAATAACTTCAATAAATTTATCTAACGTGTATACTGAAATTCGTTCTAACTTTTCAAGTCTACTATCTACATTCATTTACTTTTCTCATAGTCGTAATTGGTCTGCTGACATTATTTTCCGAAATCTTGATTTTACAGATTCAATTGTTCTCGGGTTTAACTTATCACTTCTCCAATATTCAATCATTTTTCTGCTCCAATATTCAATCATATTCTGCTGAAATATCGTCGATGTCACAAACCATTTCTTTTACATTGCGTGAATAATTTTCTTCTTCATCTACGAGTTCTATTTCTTGTGCTTCTGATACATCATATGAGTTTAAAAAATCCAACGATTCTTCTTGTTCAATTTCATAGTAGTCTTCGTACATTTCTTTTATCATCTTTTCCATTTTTTTCTGTATCGTAACTTCTTCTGTTGTTATAGGACTTTCTGGAAAATCCACGGCAGTAAATACTGCAGACAGCAGTTATTATTATACATTTCGTGGATTAAACCGCATTATCTTCTAAAAATTATAAATATTATTTACATGTCCATTTCCAATATAATAATTACTAAAAGAAAGAGAGAAAAGTTTTTATTTCATAATAAATTTGATACCTTCTTATTTGGTTATCCTTCAAAAGAATTCGTTGAACGGGGGAAAAACAATTTTGTATAATGTACATATGATGATATGTCTTCCTACAAGTGTTTTAAAAATGTTATCAAATTATAAATATACTGTTTCATCAAATCCTAACAATTGAATATTATTTTTCCCTTAGATTAATAAGACGCAAAGACGCAATGTTTTGCAATACATTATTCATGTTAACATTGAACACTGCAATTAGCTACTGTACGATCAATACATACATATAATGCAGTTATAAAAAATAAATACTTATTAGCCAATTAGTATCATTAGCAACTAGTAGTACTTATTCGAAATCAAGCACGAAACTGAATTCATTCTAACGATTTGTCTCTTTTTATACTTATGTGTCAATGACATACGCAGACAAAAAAGAAATTATTGTTTTATCTGTGTTAGCAAATCTACATATTTTTTACATCGTCTTATCAATACATTATTGATATCAACATTAAATGGAATTAGCTGTTCTACGATAAAAATGAAATGAATAAAATTTTATTAAAGTATTAATTTTTTTATTAATGTTTTGTTCTTAATTGTTCAAAATATTTTGTATATTCTTTTATAAACGTACCTTCGAAAGTATTTGACTGATTTTAGCAGATAGACAAATTACCTCACTAAAACTATCTCACCAACTACCAAACTAACTCACTGTTGCTGTATTGTTATTATTATTATTATTATTATTATTATTTACAAAACTTATTTCAATAGTCACTACTGCACTGTGATAAACTGTGTTGCCTTTATCGCTATTTCGCGTAACCAACGTGATATGAGACGAATACGTAAGTACGGATCGTGTATATAGAGACGTTTTCGTTCATATTTCAAAAATGATTTTTCGGAACATGATTTAAATACACATTGTTTTCAGTGTAAAATGCTCTTTAATTTTGATCATATAAAAAATTAAAAAATTTTTAAAAATAAGAATGAAGGATAGAAGTATACAATAAATAAATAACTAAAAAAAATTTGTATTATTATAGTTATAAAGTACTTTTGCAACCATTCAATTTTCATTGTAGAAATTTTTTTCTATCTCTCATATCTCTTCGAAGATATTCGCTTCGAAAGAAAAAAACCGATTTTTTTCAAAGGAAGATTTCACCCCCTTAACATGCGACTCAGCACGTATAAAAAAATACGTCTTATTTTTGTTTGTAGAACAACGTGATATGAGACGAATACGTAGGTACGGATCGTGTACATAGAGACGTTTTCGTTCATATTTCAAAAATGATTTTTCGGAACATGATTTAAATACACATTGTTTTCAGTGTAAAATGCTCTTTAATTTTGATCATATAAAAAATTAAAAAATTTTTAAAAATAAGAATGAAGGATAGAAGTATACAATAAATAAATAACTAAAAAAAAGCTACATACTAAAAGCTCATTTAAATCGGCACATACAACTGATTGTGTTCCCTTGTTAGTTAAGATATAAGTTATTTATAATGAAATTAATTGAATTAAAATTAATTAAAAAAAAGTAATTAAAAGGTTAAATTTTTTTATTTTTTTATTTCATGATTCCAGGGTTTCAGTCTTATAAATAACGGAAATGACAAATATTCATTTAGAAAATACTCTATTTTCTATTTACATGCTTTGTTCATATATTTATATTGTTTACATGGACTGTTATATATATGTTTATATGAACTGTTTGAATATTTTGTTCACATACACTTATTAAATTTAAGTAATAAAGTCATTTCGAAATTTTTGTTGGTGTCAAAACATTTGATGCTTCGTACAATAATGTTACAATTGGCCAATTGGCGTTGTACGAAGCATCTTCACATAGAAATGAACATGTTTATATAATTACAACATACGACGGTTGAATTTAATGTCAACTAGATGTAACTCTGCGTTTTAAGAATATTATGAATTTACTGAAAATAGCCAGATTGTGACCGAAACGTTTAATGTAATAATAATTAAATATCACAAACTAGAACTTGTGCTGTAGTTCCTTATGCTCTTCTTTTTATACGCTTTCAATTATCTATCTTTTTTATTGAATCTGAAGGATTTCATGAATTGTTTATTTTTCATAAAAGATGATTATGTTGGAGAGAAAGAGAGAGGTTATCCTATTTTTTATATAAAAGATTTTATTAAATTAAGCAAAGAAATATTCCATAGAGCACAAAAAACAGAAGTTTGCAATAATATTATATATTACAACAATTTTGTGATACTTATTCGCTTTGTTAAAATGTAGATATGCAACATAAAACATTTCTCTCAAAATGAATTCGACTTTTCTAATATGATATAATATTATAATTCTGATAGTTATACCGCATTTTTTTTCGTGTTATTTTTGTTTTTAATGTGCAATTTAAATGCATTATTAAGGATGTTTTATTATATTTTCAAAACAATAATAAAATTATGAAAAAATTATAGATTATTCTAAATCATGTTTAAAAATAATATGATAAATTTGATTTATTATCTGGATCATATAATTATTTTAATAAATAGTAGTATTTTTTAATTTGTGTCTAATAGAAATATATGGAAATGTATTATAAAGTAAATGATAAAAATCTTAATTTTTTAATATAAGTACATCA